TTGAGGGGCTTGAACGACAAACAACCAACGAAGTATTTTGTGGGACACTTTAGGAAGGAAGAGGCCTATAAAAGGGGATTCTGAAGAGAGGAGATGGTAAAGGGAGAGAAAGCATGGAGGAAAGAGCTCAGTGCCTTTAAGTTGAGGCTTCTGCTGTACAGCAGGCCATTTTAGGAGTGCTGGTAAAACCCTTCACCATATTAGCTGTTGGTCCATCCCTGAGGAACGCTGTGTTCCAGCGATGCAATTAGCAGAACTGAGTTTGTGGGTGGAGCAGTGAGGAGTTGAACAGAGAAGAGAAGCAGCAGCATTCTGAGGCCCTGCCCAGATTGTGGGGCATCGGAAATGAGGGGGTGGCTTCAGAGAGAAAACGTTTTCATTCTAAAAGCAATCCTTCACTAGGAAAACAAAGAAGTCCAAGGTTTTTTAAAAGTCAGATCTATATACCCACTCTTTTAACCTTGCATAACCTGACTTACAAATAAGCAGGAGAGATACCAGCAGGCCTGGGACTTACCTTTGCAGAGAGCCTCCAGACTCTACAGTTGAGCCTCTCAGCTAAGGATTTTCTGAGAAATTTAACACTGAATTCTATTTGTGTTTGTTCCTCATTCATTCATTCCACAAACATCCACAGAGAAATGACTAAACACAAGATAAGATCCCAGACAGGCAGGTGACAGCTTTGTTGCTCAAACCTCCATTCCAAGTGGTGTGACTAGTCCATTTTTTTATCTGTTAGATGGAAAAAACAAGTTTATGGGAAGATGCAATAAGACAATGGACATATTTGGGCGAAACCGGTTTGGCTCAGTGGTAGAGCGTCGGTCTGCAGACTGAAAGGTCCCAGGTTCGATTCTGGTCAGGGGCATGTTTGTTGGTTGCGGGCATATCCCCAGTAGGGGGTGTGCAAGAGGCAGCTGGTCGATGTTTCTCTCTCATCGACGTTTCTAGCTTTCTCTCTCTCTCCCTCCCTCTCTGTAAAAAATCAATAAAATATATATTTTTTTAAAAAGACAATGGACATATTTGATACATTTTAAGCAATCAAGAAATATCAACCATGGACAACAGGGAGGGTGAGGGCATGCGTGGGGATGGGTTTGGGATGGGAATGGGGGGATGATGACAAATATGTGACACCTTAATCAATAAAGTAAATTTTAAAAAAAAGAAATATAGCCAAAACCAGTTTGGCTCAGTGGATAGAGCGTCGGCCTGTGGACTGAAGGGTCCTGGGTTCGATTCTGTCAAGGGCCTGTACCTTGGTTGGGAGCACATCCCCAGTGGGGGTTGTGCCAGAGGCAGCTGTTAGATGTTTCTCTCTCATCAATGTTTCTCACTTTCTATCTCTCTCCCTTCCTCTCTGTAAAAAATCAATAAAATATTTTTTAAAATTAAAATTAAAAAAGAAAGAAAAAGAAATATAAACCATTATTATACTACTAGTGGCCTGGTGCATGAAATTCATGTGTGTGTGGGGGGGTGTTCCCACACCCTCTCAAAGGATGTCCTACTGCCACTTTACATGGATTGGGCCTAAACTGGCAGTCAGACATCCCTCTCAATCAGGATTGTTGGCTTCAGCTGCTCACCTGATTGCCCCTAACCACTCTGCCTGCCGACCTGCTCACCCCCGAATGCCCCCCCGCCAGCCTGCTCAACCTCAACTGCCCCCTGATGGCCTGCTTACCCCCAACAGCCCCGTTCCCACCAGCCTGATCATCCACAACTGCCATCCCATCCTGGCCATATCCCCCCTTGGTGACCCAAGCTCCCAGCTCCTCCTTTTTTGTTTTTTTGTTTTTTTAGGGCCTCCTTGAGCGGAGGCCAGGGCTGGCTAGAAGCAAGTATCTGGGATTTATTTATCTTCTATAATTGAAACTTTGTAGCCTTGAGCAGAGGCCAGGGCCTGGCAGGGAGGGTGGGAAGCTTGGCTTCCTCCATCACTGAGGAAACCCAAGCCTCCTGCTCACTCCAGCTCCTTGGCCATCACCATCTTGGTTGGTTAATTTGCATACTCACCCCTGATTGGCTGGTGGGCATAGTGGAGATATGGTCAATTTGCATGTTTCTCTTTTATTAGTGTAGACAAGTAAGATTACGTGTTATGCTAAATATCTCTCATTTGTCCTTCCAAGTACTGTCTTTATTTTCCACACTGTGCTGTGCTCTTGAATTCACATATATGGACTAATCAAGGCTCCCTTGCCCTCTGACTTCCCATTGGGCTTGGTCCCTGGGGAGCCTGGACAGATCTGAAGGGAGAAAGAGAAGTTTTTATAGTCTCAACTGCATTCCTGAGCCCTTTGATCCAAAGTCTCAGCTCTAGAAAGATGACCCTCCCCCTTCCAGTCTCTCTGCCTCAGATGGTGAGATCCCTTTGTTACTGGCACCAGAATATTTCACTACCCATATTGCTTCCCTACATCTTGCCTCAACTTATCCAACTGAAATATGCCATCTGTTTTTTGCTGGCCCCTTAATTTACATGGTATATTAAGGAGAATAACAACAGGCCTAGGAATCAGGAGACATGAATTCAAGTCCCAACTCTGCCACAAGCTGGCTCTATGACCCCGGGCCAATCTCTTTCCTTTTCTAAGCCTCGGCCTCTTGTGTAAAAAGAACCACATGGCTCTTTTGTGCTACAATTCCCTGCCACTACTGAGTGTGCTGTGAAGTTAAAACCAGGAAAGGGATGCTTATCCTATCTAATAAAAGAGGAATATGCAAATTAACCATCACTCCATGACAAAATGGCGACCCTCATAGCCACAAGATGGTGGCACCCAGTCCCCTCAGCCCCGCTGCTGGAGTGTCTGGGCCTGTCTGCCTGAGGGGGTAGATCCAGCCTTCCTGCTCCACTGCTCCTGCAGCAGTTGGGCCAGTCAGCCCCACTCAGGTTCACACGGACCAAGCAGCGGGCAGACAGAGCCAGGACAGCGTTGTGGGAACCTCCAGAGGGGGCGGACCCAGCCTTCCTGCTTCACCAGTGCTGCAGCAACTGTTGGGCCCGTTAGCCCCACGCCAGGGTTCACGGGACCAGGCGAGGAAGCTGGATCTGCCCCCAGACACGACAGACAGAGCCTGGACATCAGGGCTTGGGGGCTTCTTTCGCAGGGTGATGACTCAGGCCCGGCAGCAGAACCTGGACAGCAGGGCATAGGGGCTTCCTTAGTGTGTCAGTGTCGGCGAAGCCCCCAGGCCTGGCAGACAGAGCACACTGCAGGGCATTGGGGCTTCCTTCGCATGGCGGATTCAGGCAGAGAGCAGACAGCAGGGTTTGGGGGCTTCATCTCTATGGCTGTAGTGAAACCCCCAGGTCTCACAGAGAGCAGAGAACCACAGGAGTGGGCCTGAGCCATCAGTAGGACATCCCCTGAGAGCTCCTGGATTGTAGAGGGTGCAGATTGAGCTGATGGACCCCTGTGCACAAATTTCATGCACCAGGCCTCTATTCCTATATAATAAAAGGGTAACCTGCAAATCGACTGAACAGTGGAATGACTGGTTGCTATGATGCACACTGACCACCAGGGGGAAGATGCTCAGCTCAGCAGCTGCCCCTGATGGTCAGTGCGCACCCACAGAGGGAGCGGCACTCAGTCAGAAGCCAAACTCACAGCTGGCGAGCACAGTGGCAGTGCTAAGGGTGTCTGCCTGCCTGCTTTGGGGGAGCAGGCCTAAGCCATCAGTTGGACATCCCCCAAGGACCCCCAGACTGCAAGAGGGCACAGGCCTGGCTGCGGGAACCCTCAGTGCACGGATCTCATGCATTGGGCTTCTAGTAAGGGAATAAAGCTTCTCAGTGCAGAGAGCAAGTTAGCCAACCAAGCAGCTTTCCCCAAGCCCCACATCAGCTCATTCTTTCCGCAAGCCCTACATCAGGAATTACCTAACGCCCTTCCAAGAATTTTCCTTTTCCTCATGCCACCAGGGTATAAAGGCCCCTTCCTGGGTCCTAGTATGGGAGCTGGGCATGGGAGAGGGGAGTCCAAGCAGGGAAACAGGTACACAAGTACTTGATGCCAGTGCTTCCTCCACAGGGCTACAAAGGGAAACGATGCCATCTCACAGTGGTGAGCAGAGAAGGGAGCCACTAAACCAGCCTCCTGTCAGAAGACACCAAACACCCTGTCTCTGGGTATGTTTCAAATGGAGGTTAAGACCATTTGATGAGATATTACAGAACCTCTGAAGTGCTTTTAAACTCCTGCAATGAGTGACTCAGGGAACTCCAGGGGCCACAAGAAAGACATTCTAGTGAGACTATCACCCTTCCTGTCCCCATAAATTTATCTGGAGCTTCGGCTGCCTAAGTACTTTCCCACCTACTGGTTGGTACCCAGAAGTAGGCAAAAGTGGGCAAGGTAAGGCTGGGTTTCTGTCCTAAAGAGCAGAATAGAATTAGGGACATAGAAAGGGAGTGGACTGACAATTCTCAGGGGGAAGGGGGTCTGAGGAGTGCGGGAAGAGATTGGACAAAAATCTTACACCTATGGATGAAGACAGTGGCCGGGGGTAAGGGCATGGGGTGGGGTGGGGAATCAAGTGGAGAGGAGCTATGGGGTGGGGAGAAAGAGGAACACCTGTAATAATCTGAACAATAAAGATTTGTGTTAAAAAAAAAAAAAAAAACAGACCCAGAGTCAGAGAAGCAGCGATCAGACTGTCAAACCTCAGAGGGAAGGTAGGGGAGGGTGGCGGTAAGGGGAAGAGATCAACCAAAGGACTTGTGTGCATGCATATAAGCCTAACCAGTGGTCATTGACAACAGGGGGGTGGGAGCATACATGGGGAGGGGTTTGGGATGGGAATGAGGGGATGAGAACAATTATGTGAGACCATAATCAATAAAGAAATTTTAAAAATAAATAAAAATAAAGTTTTTAAAAAGAGCAGAGGGGAAGGCAGTTTGTATTCAAGTTTCTCTGAGTTTCTGAAAGGTTAAGGGAGGTGGTGGGGTAATCTCTTTAGAGTCTCAGTTCCTGTTTTACCTGAGGGCTGGCCGCAGGAGAAAACTACAACACAACCACCACCGGCCCCGATCAGTCTCGGGCATTCTTCACGTTCCTCAAATGCTCCAGAGATGGTGACCTCACACCACCGCCGAGAGCGAGCTCCAGACCCCGCCCGGCCCAAATCAAAACTTCCCACACCCTCCGCGGGTTCCGCAGCAAGCGGCGCCCGGAGCGGGAGGGGGGCGGCGGCGCCCCCGCCCCGGGGGGCGGTGAAGACCCAGAGGGCGAGGCTCGCGAGCCCCGCGGGAAGGGAACCCCCGGGCTCAGCCAGCCCGGCCGCCCTCGCCCCCGGCGCTGAGGCCCCGCCCACCCCGCTCAGCCGAGCCCGCGCGCCGGGAGCACCGCCGCGAGTCTGCGCATGCGTGAGCGCCTGCGCGTGACTCGGAGGCGCGCGGCCTGCGGGGGGGGGGGGGGGAGCCCTCGGCCAGGCCGCGGCCGCGAGTGGAGGCGCATGCGCTGCGTGGGCTCAGGCCAGACCCTGGGGCACTCGGTGCGAGTGCCGGTGCCGCCGCTTGATGGGTCCGCAGGATCGCGCTGATGAGCCCCCCTCAGAACTAGCCAATGTGTGCAGGAGGAGGCGGGTTTGAGGGACGAGTCCAAATTCGGCCAGGCTCCCGGTTCCCCTACCCTCACGACTCTGACAGAGAACAGCCCAGCATAGAACCTGTTTCCCCTCGAAAGCGGGAAGGCCGGGGAAGGCCGAGGTCCTGCAGCCGCAGTGAGGACGCGGGCCGGGCGGCGCTGGAAGGAGCCCGAGCCCGCAGGACTTTTGCAGAAGGAGTAGGGCGGGAGCAGCCCCGCGTCCTCCTCTGGCCCTGGGCTCACACGCTGCGGGTCCGTGTGTCCGCTGTCCCTGGTCCTCTGGGATGGAGGGGCCGAAATGTCACAGGGTCCAGAGAAGAGACACAGATTCGGGTCTGCCCAGGGCTGGTGGGCATCCAGGGCCCATCCGTAGGGCCAGACTGATAGGGGGCTCCAGCAGCAGTTGGTTCCCAGCTCCTCAGGAGCGGGCAGGACAGAAACCCAGGGACCCCTCACCCAACAGGCCGGGGATCTGGGACCGGAGGGGCCCTGCCCACCCGATACTGTCAATGTTGCCAAAATAGGCTTCCTGACCTCAAGCCCTCACCTCTCCAGCCAGACCCAGGGCTGCCGGATCTTCTCTGCTTCTCCATGGCACCCTCCTTTCCGAAATTTGCAGTGGCCTGGAGCCCAGACCTCTTGGACTTCCATTTAAAGGCTGGTTTTCCCCCACTTACCGCATCTCACCTTGATTCCTCAACCGCCACACAACAGATACCTTCCTTTCTCCCAGCCTGGGCCCTGGATCTTTCCCAGGATCCAACCCCCTGACCCCTGACCTTCCAAACCTGCCCATCCTACAAAGTGTAGCTAGAATTCCACTCTCTTCCCTAGCTTGGTGACCCCCTGGTGGCGCAGGAGTCTCAGAAGAGCCGGGATGTTGTGCAAGTGGATTCTCCCCCACAAAGAGAATCTATTATAAATAAATTTAACAGCCTGTATGCATTGGTCAGACTTTTCAGATAATTACATTTGCAAATGAGGGAGAAAAACCCTGTCAGACCATGTATCCCGATTTATGATTTAGAAGATGTGGTCACTTTATCCCTGAAGACTTCCCTCCCTAATTATTCCAGTTCTATGCCTGGTATTCCTAACTCAATGGTTAGGAGCAAGGATTACCGCTGATTAAATATGTCAAATTCCAAATCTTTTGAAGTCATGGGGGGGGAGGGGGGAGGTCTAGAAGTTTGACAAAAATGGAAATATATCCATAACATACTTTTGCACTCTTCACAAATACAAAATCACTCTTTTTATTGTGTCAGAAAAATGTACTGGTCTAGGCTCCAGTTTAACACAAATCAATGTGATTGAACATAGCATAAATAGTGAAATGAGTAGAAATTTGTCCTTTTAGTTTGATTTGTCATGTACTAGCTGAATGAACTTTAACAATTTCTCCGGAGATTTGCTTTCCTCCTGTTTAATTTGGATTTGGGATTTGGGGATAATATATATATTTTATAAGATGATTATGGTGAAATAGAGTTAAATGGGTGTTTTTGTTGTTGTTTTCAATTTTAAGTATTTTTTGTTCAGGAAATAATCCTCAATAACATTTCTAAAGAAAATTACTTTTAAATGGTTTAAACTTTGTTGCTAGCAAGCTTTAAGGTGCTGAGTGACTATTTAAAAAATTAGGCACTGTCCAAATTTTAGGCACTGTTCTGAATTTTTTCCACTTTGGGATCAGGGAGGCCAGTGTCACCTAATGTGACCCTAAGCAAGTAACCTAGCATAACCTTTAGGGTGAGTCAGGCAGCAGCTAGGATTTTGACTCTACCACTTACATATGCCATCATCTCAACCACTCTGACCATCAGTCTCCTCATCAGTAAAATATGAATAATAGTCATAACTTGTTCTGAATGCTTTCTGTGGGCTGTGTACTATTTCAAGCATGTTGCATATATTAGGTCATTTAATTCTGACAACTCCAGGAGAGGACTATAAATATCTCCACTTTATGAAGGAGGAAACTAAAGCCAGAGAAGATAAGACATTTGTCTAGTGGAAACCAGTTTGGCTCAATGGATAGAGCACTGGCCTGTGGCCAGGGTTCGATTCCAGTAGGGAGTATGCAAGAGGCAGCTGATCGATATTTCTTTTTCATTGATGTTTCTAACTCTCTATTCCTCTTCTTCCTCTCTGTAAAAAATCAATAATTATATATATATATATATATATATATATATATATATATATATATATATTTTTTTTTTTTTTTTTTTTAGTGGAGCAAATAATCTGTTTAAAAAAAAAAAAAAGCCAAAACCGGTTAGGCTCAGTGGATAGAGAGTCAGCCTGCGGACTGAAAGGTCCCCGGTTCGATTCCGGTCAAGGGCATGTACCTTGGTTGTGGGCACATCCACAGTGGGGGGTGTGCAAGAGGCAGCTGATCAATGATTCTCATCAATGTTTCTAACTCTCTATGCCTCTCACTTCCTCTCTGTAAAAAAATCAATAATATATATATATATATATATATATATATATATATATATAAAAAAGAAGACATTTGTCTAAGGCTGCCCAGCTAGCAAGTGGTGGAGCCCAGGCTGAATCCCAAGCAATGTGACCCCAGAGTCTGTGCTCTAGTCAGTACTGGACTGGATGGCCTCTTTCTGTGGGGTTCTTGAAGGACTGAATGAAATAATATACATAAAGCACTCAGCTTGTGGCCTGGGACACAACTATTAAAAGTATCCCATTATCTTAAGGTATAAGTGTGATAATGTCTCTGCACCCACAGCCCAGTTCCTGGCACAGAGGAATACTCTAGATTAGAAACTGATTCCCTTCCCCATTGACATTATGTGAAAACAGAGAACATGTTCCACAGTGCAGGCAGACATTTAGAAATGCTCATTGGGCCCTAGCCGGTTTAGCTCAGTGGATAGAGCACCAGCTTGCCAACTGAAAGATCCCAAGTTCGATTCCAGTCAAGGGCACATGCCCAGGTTGTGGGCTTGATCCCCAGTGGGGGATTTGCAGGAGGCAGCTGATCCATGATTCTCTCTCATCATGGATGTTTCTATCTTTCCCTCTTCCATCCTCTCTGAAACCAATTAAAAAAACATAGTTTAAAAAATGCTCATTTGTGCATGTTATTTTATCCTTAGGAAGAGATGTGGGTACAGGGAATTCCCAAGAATCTGTTGAATACACCTTGGCTACAGGCATATTTGTGTCTCTGCTCTCATTTACTTTTTTTCTTATACTTTTTTTATTGTCTCTATGTTCTTCTTAAGCAGGGGTGGGGAACATCTGGCCCGAGGGCCGACTAAGGCCTGTGAAATCATTTGGTCTGGCCCTGCCAATGCATTAGGGGTGAATTAATTGACCAAATGTCACAGGCTAATTTTTAAGTGGATAATTTTGTATGGCCTGAAAATAATGTTGTAAATATACAAATGGCCTTGAGCAGAAAAAAAAGTTCTCCACTTCTAAAAAAAAGGTTTCCCTTGATTGAGAAAAGCCTCAGCCTAATGCTGTAGAACATGGAATTGGTATGAAATGTTGCCAGGACTTGTGAGTTTCTGAAGGCTCTAACTTTCACCCAGTTGCCAGGAGTAGAATCCAACTCCTGCAAAGCCCTGGGTCTGGCAGAATGTCCTTTATGGCTAAAATTTTCCTGGGTCTCCACACTGGGTTGGGCTTTGGGTTCACTCCACTCACAATTGTTCCCCTAATCTGTTCCCACATCGTTCATACAATTACTTCTTCTCAGCCATGCCCACCCACCACCCCAGACATACCTGTTCCTCTGGACCCTCTCCACACAAGATGCAATGCACAGACCCCATCTTTACCCCTCCCCCCAAAAAAACACTTATTCTTTCTTTCATTCCACATATGTGATGTGTCTTACGTGCCAGGCACTGTGCTAGGTATCGGGGCATCGTTTGTCCACAAAAACTCACATACACATCTGTTTGTCCACACACAGACATTACATGAAGGTACCTGCATGCCCCTTATACATATAACCACATGCAACCCCCATATATGCAAAGGGTACATACACATACCTGTAAAAACACTCTCCATTCAGCCCCTCACATCACTGGCCTATGTTTAGAATGGTCTTTGATTTTGCTTCCTCCATTTTGTGTTTACTTACCTATCGTCTTAATGGCAGATTTAACCTAAAGATGGTAAGGTGTGAGGCTTGTGAAATAGTCCAGTTTTGATCACTCCAGCAGTTTCTGGCATGTTACGTTTACCTTCAAAACAGATCTCACCTACCTTCCCTTTTCCAGGGAAAAGCTCCTTATTTGTCCCAGTCTTGGGGAAATGCTGGTTGCAATCATGGGTGGGAGAAGTGGCCTGGGGCAGGGGTGGGTAGGCAGCAGTGGTCTTAGGTCAGCTTGCTCGGTTGTTCAGACTGTGGACCCTAATCAAGAGGAGAGTGAGGGAGAAGGAGGAAATGATCTCATTGCCCTGAGATCAGCCCCTTCTGACAGGAAAACCCAGAGCAGGTGGCCAAGCTGCTGAATCCCGCATCTTCCCTGGCCTGGCAGTTCAACCTCCCGCCAACTCCGAGGACCCCGTTCTTGTCCTTTAAGAAACATGCTCTCACCTGGCCAGTATGTCTGGCTGGTTGAGCATCAACCTATGAACCAGGAGGTCGTGGTTTGATTCCCGATGAGGGGCATGAAGGAGGCAGATGATCAATGATTCTCTCTCATCATTGATGTTTCTGTCACTATC